CACTCCTATGGAACCACTTAACATTTTGGTGGATTCACTTGGAAGCTTAATCTTGTAACACATGGAGGGTGGGGATTCCCCCACTTGTTGGCCTAGGATTGGATCACTTGTTGGCTTGGATTGTTGAAAAGTATAGGCTTACGATTAAGCCTAGGAAGGTGGCTTGGATTGTTGACAAGTGCAAGGTTCATTTTAAGTCTTGCACTATGTGTGTGTGAAGACCATGGTGTAGACTCACATAGTGAGTAGAGGAATGCTAAATCCTTCACTCACCACATTTTAATTCATCTTCCTCACCACTTTGTTCTCAAACCCTAACCTAACCTCCATGGAAGGAAAAGTTTGACTCAAGGCTTTGACTTCATTTTTGGCCTTCTTCCACTCACCCAAGACCCTTAAGCTTGGTATACTTTTGTTTCCTCTCATCCTCCTCTACATAACCCTTGAAGGGTTTGCCATTTTGTGTTGATTTGCCTTGGATTCAAGAGGAACAATCCTCTTGTGAGGTAAGGGGTGTTCTAATTTATATTTTTGATGTTTTATATGTTTTATGACTTGGTATAAATGAAATATATGTCTTAAATCTAAATTTTTAAGTTAATAGTTAAGGGTACCTTGCATGAAGTTAAGCTAAGACATGATTTTTGGAAAGGCCATGACTTGATTCATAACATATATTAAATTGAGCATGTTTGGATGAGAAATGAAAATCTAGAGGAATTTATAAATTAATTTAATTAATTTGTATTCATATGTTTCCATGATTTAAATTAGGTTTTGAAGGAATATATGTAATGATCATGATAAGTTCTTCAACATATATTAAATTGAGCATGTTTGGATGAGAAATGAAAATCTAGAGGAATTAGGTATTTTGTGTAATTAATTTCCATCCTTGTTGTATTAATGAGTTGAGTATGTATTTTGTGATGATTACCCATTTAAACCATGATTTTAGACTTGTATCCCAATTGTGAGATTATGTTCTTAATATGGGTTAATATTGCTCTAGAATGTAACAAGTTGTATAATGATGATCCAACATTCTTCATGCCATTGTAGTTGTGAACATAGGGCATGTATTGTGTTTCCAAAATTAGTTGGTGCATGGTAGATGGTTTTACATTGTGTATATATGTTTATGCTTATATATATACATTGTTGCACAAATTGTTGATTTTGGAAACTTGGGATGTTGTTGTTATAACTAAGGCTAGGGCTTGGTTCTAGTACGGGGGATTGTCCCTCTACAAGTCTAGTGCGCACATAGGGAGGTTACCCATGGGCTAGTAACCCTAATGTAACTATAGTGTCGGTCTGATCCGGCGTGATGTCCAAGTATCTACTTTGGTTTGGTTTCGCATTTTAAATTCTAAGTTGATAACTTTGTGAGTTTGCATCTTCTTGCGTTGTGTTGGAAGTTCCAATATAGGTTAAACATTATGAATTGTTTTACATCAAATTGCAAAGTTATGTAAAGATAAATTTATGCATGCTCATTACCTACGAGTAAACTTTTTTACTCACCCCAAAGTTACCGGGTGTTTTTCAGGTAAAGAAGCATTATTGTGGGATGCACATCACTCTTAGGATTGTTTGACTACTTGGAGTATTTTTGTTATATTAGAATATGCACTTGTTAGCATATTATGCTCTATTTTGGTTCATTTTGACAAACCATGTATTTGTTGTTCAAGGCATGTAATGTGCACTTAAGTGCACCTTTTGATACTCTTTAGATGTGTATGTAATGAGGCCAAGAGCCAAAGACACTTATGTGATATGTATGCTAATTTTTAACTTCATTGTTGCTTATGGAAGTTAGGAGATTTCATGCATTGAAGGGTCATATTTTGCATACAACATGCCATGAGGCCGTAGGCCATTGTAGTACGTCTATTTTTTCATATTACGTATGCTTACATGTTCACTTTGGCACACAACACCATTCTTGATGAAAAACGAAACTTAAAGTTGCATTTTCTTGAGTTTTTACCCTTTTATGATCTAGGGGCATTTCGGGTATTTAAAAATGTGTTTTTTTTGTTTTCGTTTGCGCTGCTGGGTAGAAAACTTGATTTGGGGGAGGGGGGTTTCTTCTTTGTGTTTTTCCAGAAAATATCGTCTTGGTCCCGAAAATCCCGCGCAAAGTTTATTTTTCTGATTTATGCCATTTTCTTTAAAACTTAAGATTTTAGTACTTGTTACTATTCATCGACTTTTTTTTAAAAAACGTGTTGACTGATCCAAAACTTCCAGGGGTCTTGTGGGTGTATTTTAAGATTTCATTTTCAATTTAGGCAATTTAAAAACCTCCCAAAGCCACATTTCCTTTCCTTTGGTAGCAGCTCGGAACAATTTTACCCTCTTGACCTGATTTTCTTGGGGGCATTCTGGGCATTTCATAATGCATTTTTTTGTTTCCATTTACGATGCCGAGTAGAAAACTTGATTTTAGGGGGGATTTCTTCTTTGAGTTTTTCCAAAAAAGTTCATTTAGATACCCGTTTTTACTCTCAGTTGCAGCAGCAGTGGGTCGATAGCACTGTAGCTGTCATTACCCTCGTCAGGCCGCCGTGACATCGTTTTTTGTTTTTGACCTTTCTCCATCGTCCGGACTACAAATGGAGTAAAAAAAAATTTGAACTTGACTAATTTTTTGTCGTCTATCCAACGGTGTGCTCGGTTATGCCCGGATATTTCTGAATAATTATCAGTTTACCCTTTTTGCTTTATATGTCCGTTTTTCTTTATTTTGTTGTTTCTCCTTTGTCCGGACTCCGAATCATGCGATTCTTGAGTCCATCATGATTAGTTTTTCATTGTCTTTCCAGAAGTGTGCTCGGTAGCACCCGAATCCATATTTTTATAAAATGACTATTTTGCCCCTAGGGGCTCATTTGTCATATTTCTGATCTTTTGCTTCCGTGTCAGTTCTCATTGAGTTCCACGACCTCATGGAAGGTCATCAAAGTGTCTTAGAGGCGTGTTGTGCCTTGGGAGATCGTTGTTTTATTTCTTACTTCCGCATCTGGATCCGTTATCGGGTCAATCTTCGATTCATCACAGGACGCACTGGCTTAAAAAACCAGGGCCGTCACACCTCCAGCACTTCAAGGCAAACACAACTACCGCCAATTCCAAATCATAGGTAGGGTAGTTAAGCTCGTGAGTCTTTAATTATCAAGACCCGTAAGCCACTACTCTACCCTCCTGCATCAACACACAACCCAAACCATCACGTAACGTGTCGCAATAAATCACATAACCCAGGCCACGCTCGGGTATCACCAACACTAGAGCCGTAGTCAACCTTGTCTTCAACTCCTGAAAGGATGACTCACAGGCCTCATTCCATGCAAACTTAATTCCCTTTCAGGTCAATCTAGTCATAGGCACTGCCAAACGGGAATGTCCTTCACAAACCAACAATAATATCCTGCTAGGCCAAAAAAACTCCGAATCTCAAATACATTTTTGGATCGCTCCCAATTCAAAAATGCTTCAATCTTTGATAGATCAATTGACACTCCACCTTCCGAGATAACATATCCCAAAAATTTCACCTCTTGCAGCTAAAATGCACACTTCTCATATTTGGCGTACAAACGGTGCTCCCGTAGAATTTGCAACACTATACTCAAATGGATTTCATGCTCTTCCCGAATCAGTGAAAACACAAGAATGTCATCCACAAAAACTACCACAAACTGGTCCAAGTAATCGTGGAAGACGCGGTTCATTAGATCCATGAATACCGCTGGTGCATTAGTCAAACCAAAAGGCATAATAAGGAACTCATAATGTCCATACCATGTACGGAACGCCGTCTTTGGGATATCCTCATACCTAACTCGCAACTGGTAATAGCCTGACCTCAAGTCGATCTTTGAAAAACAACTTGCTCCCATTAACTAGTCAAACAAATCATCTATCCTTGGCAAAGGATACTTGCTCTTGATGGTGGCATGATTCAACTTCCGGTAATCAATGCACAACCTTAAAAAACCATCTTTCTTCTTAGCGAACAAGACCGTTGCGCCCCACGGTGACACACTCGGTCGGATGAAACATTTCATTCTCAAATCATCAAGTTGTTTCTTCAATTCTTCCAATTCTATTGGTGCCATACGATACGGTGCCATAGAAATTGGCTCGATACCAGGCATTAAGTCAATGGCGAACTCTACCTCTCGATGTGGAGGCAACTCCATCAAGTCCTCCGGAAACACATCCAGAAAATCGCATACAACTACTGGATAATCAATCCCTCAAAACTCAACATCATCATTGGCAAAAAGGCTAACCAAGAAGAACTCCTGCCGATCCTGACCTCTAATACCATAAAACGAATGAGTGAAAGGATCACATCGATCTCCCACAAAATAGAAACAATCCCCATTTGGGGTACACATTGAAACTCTGCCCCTAAAGCAATCAATAATGGCCCTGAAGGACGACAACCAATCCATCCCAAGAATGACATCAAACCCTATCATCTCAAGAAAGATGAGATCGAACTCAAGTACCCGCCCGATAATGGTAATGGAACAACCCCTACAAACTCTACCAAGAGTGACTGAACCCCCAATAGGCGTGGCAACACAAAGTGGTCTGTCTAACTGACTGACCTCCAACCCCAATGCCCGTGCAAATGATGAAGCAACGAAAGAGTATGAAGCACCGGAATTAAACAATACTCGAGCCCAAGAATGGAACACAAGAAACATACCCCTGACAACTGAAGGACTGGATAATGGCTCGACTGGAGTAACTGCATACATATAACCCTAGGTCCTTTGCCCCTGAGAACCACCGGTCTGATAACTCGACTGCTGAGTGGGTACACTAGAAGGAGCCCATCTACCCGATCGAGAACTCTGAGCTGTCATAGCTGGATGAGGTGGCTAAGGTGGTGGTGCTCGAAATCCTTACTGAACGGTGGCAGACTACTTCTGCCTCTACTGTGAAGCTCCCCCTCTACCCGAACCACTGCCCCATCATGGACAATCTCTCACCCTATGGCCCTGCTGGCCACAACCAAAGCATCCACTCGACACCGTCTGAGTTTGAGTGCACTGGGACTTGTAGTGTCCTGGCTGTCCACATCTGAAACAAGTAACATTCAGACTAGAAGACCTGATAGACACTGAAGCTGCAGGTACAAATCTGGCTGACTGTTGTCCCTTAAATCCTGACGGTTCATTCCTCTGCTTCTTATGTGATTGACCCTCGGAAATAACACTCATGCTCCCGTTGTGCTTATAGGACTCCGCAATAGCCTTGTTGTCCTTGCTTTCGACCTCAACCACTAAGGTTTTTCTCACTGCTTTTGCATACTATGTCAGTTCTATGGCAGCTACAATTGGCCTGATGGTAAGATCAAGGCCATCAATAAATTTCTCTATCTTTCCTTCTTTATCTTTAGCAATCCCTGGTGCAAACCTCAAAAGCGATGTAAACTTGTTCTAATACTCTGTAACAGTGATATTCCCTTACTTCAAACCATCGAACTCTTTCTTTAATTCTCTCCACTTAGGTGCCAGAAAGTATTTCTCATAATACAACTTCTTGAATGCATCATAGGTCATTGTGTCCAAATTGTGGATGTGAGAAACGGTCTTCCACCAAATCTTAGCATCACCTGTAAAATTGTAAGTAGCTAAAATGATCTTTAACCTGTCCGACACCAAGTTCATAGCATTCAAATGCTTCTCTACCCTTTCCATAAAATTGTCCACAACAAGTGGATCTGGGCCGCCCTTAAACAAAGTCAGCATCAACTTCACAAACTCTGCAATGTGGTAAAGAGTCTTTACTGACTCACTTTTCTCTGGAGGTGGTGCCGGTGGTGGCACAACCTGTGACGATGATGCCACTATAGTCCGAAATGCATTATATAAGACTGCCTTTACATCTAACCTAAGCTATACCTCACTTATCTGAGGAAGCGGCTCGTTAGTTCCCCTCGCTTGTCCCCCACTTGGTGGGACTAAAACACGCAACAAGACATCTTCCTCAACTTGCTCCTGATCCCTTTCCACGAGATTGGAGCTAGAACTCTCCCCGAGATCCCTTCGTGGTGGCATGACGTTATAAAATGAGAGAATGAATAAAAAAACAATGACACTAATACACACACGAGAACGGAGTCCTCACTCAAATGACTTGTCAAGAAGTGACAACACTTAAATACTTCCATACTCCTGAAAAAACCCAACCGATGATGAGCATGGTCATGCTAACAATGTACAACAACACTAAACACTTAACACGTAATCACATAACAAGTAAACAAGTAAACAATTGGGCATGCTTTTCAAACATTTAACATTTAGGCACAAAAACACATAAACATGCAATTCAACTTCCCCATGAAATCCTAGTTAGGCCTCTACTCGTCGTCCTAATGGTATTCAAACCATTGTTTTGATACCAAATTTGTAATGACCCGAACCCGTGGGTCCGAACCGTTAGCCGGGTCCTTACCCGAACCCGAGGTCAACTACGGGTACAACCGTCATTTCTTATGTCATCACGAAGCATGAACCTCATCCATAACCCTACAACTCTCCAAAACGACCAACATCATTGGAGGAACTCAAGGCAGGGTGGAAGAAGAGAATCGGCCGACTGGGAGCCTTATGTCGGTCGACTGATGCTTAAGGTTCGATCGGCTGACCTAATTGGTAGGCCAGCCGAAACAATGCACAAATATGCATACTCTCGGGACTTCCATAAATGGCCTCTCGGCAGACTGGAAGTGAGGGTTCGGTCAGCCGGAAGTGGAGGTACAGTAGGCTGACAAGGCTCTTCGGCCGGCCGAAACGCCACTTCCAGAGACCCAACTCTCTGGAATACTAAAAAATGCACTGTCGGTCGGTTAATGCTCCTTGTCAGCCGGCCAACAGACCCAGAAATGCTGTTATATGCAACTAAAACCCAAGGAGAACCGGACTCGTTGTGAGCTAAACCTGATAAATAATCATTCCCAAATTCACGGCAACAATACACAGAAAATACCATAGTCGAAATACTTTCAATAATTCACAAGGACAACCCATCATTATCCCATTCTATACAAGTCATCTACATAGTCATGAATTACATCAAAATACTGTCAGAATTATAGTTATAAAATATGGCTATGCTTTACACAAAATAAATACATTTCTAATGTATCATTTTACAAAAGAATGGGATTAAAATACAAAAGATGGCAAAAATGAACTCCTAGTCCCTTTAAACCTGTGGAGGATATTCTTCTGCAACTTTCTTTCCATGCCTTGAAAATGTTAATAATAAAATGGGGTGAGCCAACCGCTCAATAGGAAGTGTCTAAGACACACTCTTACGTCCCCGTGAATCCACATAAAGAATAGACTCAAAGAGTATGGGGTTATGCCTCAGGAAGGAAGTAAAGCCATAGTATCATCAGCAAGCACGTATATATGTCATCCAACTACCAAGTACACAAAGTATGTCAATGATGTGCCATGCCATGCAATGTCACTCCCCATTTCTGAAACAATACCGTTTCACCTTCCAAACCGTTAGTGCAATCCGACCCTAGGCGACTCCAAGGCGTCGCGAAAGGAGGATTGGCTAACCATCCAAGACCACAAGGCAACTCCAAGGCGTCGTATCTGGCCTAGTTGGCTCAACCACACTAAGGTCTCTCCCTAGTCCCCTCTAGACCACACTAACGCCACGGACCACTAAGCAATTCCTAGGCGTCCGATTTTTGTAACCACTTTTCGAAAATCTTTCCCAAAAACATGTTCATTTATTTTTAAAACACTTTTCTCCTTTTTCTTTCCAATGAATGCATATTTGAATTCATGCTTCCATGTGCCACATCAACAATAAAATTTCCCCACATTCTATCTACATTATATCCACATTAAGGGGAACTTCTAAACCTTCGCATTCACAATTTCAACATTTGATTTTCATAGCAATTGGAAGATATAAGACATACAATATATCAATACTAAGCATGTTTCTTTACCATAATGAAAAATGGTTTGAACATGGATTTAATTTATACATTGAACATATTTAACATCATTAATACATATAACCCCAACAACCCTAGACAAAATGCTAAAATTAAGTATGCTTGGAACCAAATTAAAAAGGGAAAGGGAAATTCACAAGAAATCAAAGAAGTTGTAGATTAGAACACCCCTACCTTAAAATGGAGAAAAAGCCCTAAAATGCCCCAAAAATTTGAAATTCCCATGGTGGCCAAATGAAGATTGGCTCCGATCAAAATGAAGATCTCGACGAGCTCTCTAACTTTGCCTCAAGTAGCACCATCAAAAACTCAATAACGAACTCTAAATCAAAGCTAGAAATTTGAGTGAAAAGAAAAAGAAAAAGAGAGGAAAGGAAAAAAGAGAGAGGCGTGAGATAGAGAGAGAATTTTGAGGCCATGAAATGGCCTCTTGGCCAATTAAAATGGTTAAGTGGGGGTGGGCCCCACAATTATTAAAAACTTCCTTTAATTAATCATTTAATATGTTTTTATATAAATTTAAACCACAACCACATAATATAACATACCACCTTGAAATTATTCATAAATAACAATGCATGAAATGCAATGGACCCGTGACATAACCCCTGTGCTCAACAATCCGGGTAGCGGGTTCCGCCTGGAACCTCTCGATCCGAAAAACAGAAAAATGCCGAGATGGAAACTAATACATTTTCAAGAGTTCTAGACTTAAGGAAATGTCCCAATCAACCTACTGACACACCCAACACAACTTGCGGTGTCCGGTACGCAAAACAAGAAAAGATGAAAATACCCTCGAAAAATGAAAATTTCAGAAAATAGAAAATGACGAAAATCAGGAACACTACAATTTTATTGCTTTAATTTTTATGTTTAATTAAATATCGAGTTGCATATTTAATTAATTATTTTTTAAAATATTATTAATTATTTTATGGCATATTAGTATAAAGTTAGTTATATTTTAAATGTCATTTGAAACATATATTTTCCAACAATATATATATATATATATGGATGTGGTGTCATCACTCCAGGGATCCAGATGCAGATGGTGAGGCTTATCCTTGGATAAATAAATAATCCCCATTTGAGTTCCATAGGTTTCCTTGGCTGCCAGTACCGGTAAAGGAGATGGAATTTGAACGGCTATATATATATACATATATGGTAGTCCTCCCTTCTTATAAAAATACCAAACTTGGTTGCTTCTCTAAAACATCGAGAAAAGGTCGCTCTTCAGTGACCTTCAATATCGGTCATCGCCATCCATAGCGGCGACCCTTGGTTGCTTTTACGACCCCCACGGTGGCCACCCCTTTGGTTGTAGAGTTCTTCCTTAAGTGTGGGTCACGATGGCGACCCACCAGCTGTTATGATCGGTCTAGCGACTGTCGACTGATTCTAGCGACTGTTGGTCGTCGTGAAAGTGACCAGCAGTCGCCAGCCCATCAGCATGCTCATTGCCGGCTTGCCGTGATGGCCTGCATGCAATTTTTATTTATTTATTTATTTTTAGCGAGTTTAATTACATGGGTTGCTTGATGTGAACCGCCAAATGCCACCACAATCCGGCGACTGTTTGTCGCTGTGAAGGCAACCTTCAAGCACGATCTCTTTTATATGTTCGTCACCAATTAGCAGCAGTACACTTAAACGTATAGAACACACACACACACACACACACACACACACACACATATATATATATATATATATATATATATATATATTTAAATGTGGTTTGACAGCAACTTTTAGGGTGTGAGTGAAAAACGGACCAAACATTTGTAATGTGTGTGTAATTTTCGAAGGATGTTTCAATGTGATATTTGTCCAAACTTCAGGGGTGTCAATGAAATTAATCCAAATGGTTATAAAGAAAAATATATAAACCTCTCTTGAGTTTTAAAAATTACACTTTAACCCTTTTTAGTTTGTACTTTTGTAAAAAGCACCCTATATGTGAAACAGTTTGCAGACGAATATCCAACAAACCTGTACAATTTATACACTCAAACAACAATAATGAACAAAGACACAAAGGTTCAAGGAGTAGAATAAATTGTTCTAAAGAGAATTCGATACTATAACTTATTGGGGATCCCTACCCCTATTTATACCAGTCATTCGTTTAGCAAGTCCTCTTATGAATTATTTTCTTCCTTTATAAGTCTTTTCCTTTTACAATCGCAATTCACTAGTTTTAGACATCAATCATGCGGAATCCTTGGTCCACAAGGATGAGATTCCTCTATAGTATCTAATTTGGCAACCTTTGCAGTTGGGTTTGGACCACTTTATCAGATCCACTTGACACTTTAATTGGTACTTTGCTTGTACGGCTGCCTCGACTGGTTTGGTAGGAGAATTTTTCCTCCATACACACCCCTTTTGTTACGAGAAATTCTACAAATACCCTAAGGTACTTACATGTTGTATCCATGACCAATAAAAAATCATTAAAACTCTCATTTTATCTTGATACACGAAAAATTGGGAGTTTTTAATAGAAAAAAAACATGACTAGCCATTGATGGAGGATCCCACATAGTAAATACTACCAAGGTATTGTAAACTTTCTCCTTAGAAACAATCAATCGTGTTCAACTATGATGTCATCAACTTAAAATTTTAAAAAGAGTAGTGCTCTCATGAGAGCCCACTTTTGACAAGAGGCATGAGCTCTCTTTATTTAACTATTGGATTGAAATTTACAATTTATTGAGATCTGGTAAAAGTATAATGAGCAATTTATTAATAAGTATAATTAATCGCTTGCATTTATGTTTGATTAATTTATACCTTTGGATTCAAATTGAGAAACAAAGAAAACAAAAGCCAAAGAATACCCAGTTTGGGGAATTAACACTATTGATGATGTAGTGCGTTGCATTTTGATGTAATATGTTGCACTACTAATGTACTAGTGCACATGATAAGTGTAAAGGATCCTCTAAAGAGAAGAGGATCCTGGTTCATATTACAGACTCATCTCTTCCTTATAACTCCATCAAATAAGTATAATTCATCGTTTGCATTCATGTTTAATTAATTTGTACCTAT